TCAGATCTTGGCAACTGACTGGTATTTATGACGGTCGCAGCATCCCGGGGGGGGGGGGGGGGTTGTGTCCTGCGATCCCCATTGGGGGGGGGGCTTCTGATGAGCAAAGTCAATGGGGAAGCCAGATTCACTTAACAACCATGTGACTCCTTTAATGGCTGCGGTGATTTGCTTCACCAAGTTGTAAAGTGGTGCAAAACTCACTTAAGAGAGCCGAGCTGGCGCAGTGGGTAGAGGGCAGCACTGCAGGCTACTTCAGAGGACTGCTAGCTGCAGTTTGGCAGTTCGAATCTCCCCAGCTCAAGGTAGACTCAGCCTTCCGTCCTTCCGAGGTGGGTCAAATGGGGACCCAGATTGTTGCGGGGCAAAAGGCTGACTCTGTAAAGCGCTTAGAGAGGGCTGTGAAAGCACTATGAAGCGGTATATAAATCTAAGGGCTATTGCTATTGCCCTTCCTTCCTTCCTTCCTTCCTTCCTTCCTTCCTTCCTTCCTTCTTTCTTTCCTTCCTTCCTTCCTTGTGATTATTACTGCAAGCTAATTCTGCCCACTGCCAGCAGTTCAATCCCGACCGGCTCAAGGTTGACTCAGCCTTCCGTCCTTCCGAGGTGGGTCAAATGGGGACCCAGATTGTTGGGGGGGCAAGAGGCTGACTCTGTAAACCGCTTAGAGAGGCCTGTGAAAGCCCTATGAAGCGGTAAGGCCTATTGCTAGCGCTATTAACAAAATGTCTCACTTAATTCCGTCTCATCCAGAGCTGGAAGGAGAACAAATCTTAGTTTGTTCTGGCCAGCATCCCAGATGGTGGTTGTTTAAACGGTGCGTGCAAAACATCCGTGCCGAACGCTGTCTAACTCTTTGCTCAAGGTTACACATTGCCAGTCGGAGTGAGCAAATTGTTGGATTTCCTCCCCTGCTCCCCCCCCCCTTTTTTAATCCTTTCACTTGCTCCGTTGAACCGTTTCCTGGCTACCGTGATCCGCACTTAATCCCGAAGGTAACGAGGTGGAGAATTTATTCAGCAAGCCAACTCGCGTTGGCTTCAACTGCACAAAAGAAGAGCTGTCTTTTTTTTCTTTTTTTTTCTTTCTCTCTCCCGGCGCTCTGGAAATTTTTGCCCTCCTTTTCTGCGTTCCACAGCAAAGCTGCCCCAGCAAATGACAGCAACTTTGGGTGGGTGGGGGGTTAAATTTGTAGCGGGGAGAAAAGGCTGGAGTGAGATAGGATAGGAAAATAGAATAGAAAATAGAATAGAATAGGAATAGAATAGAGGAATAAAAGAATAGAATAGGAATAGAATAGANTAGATAGATAGATAGATAGATAGATAGATAGATAGATAGATAGATAGATAGATAGATAGATAGATAGATAGATTGATTGATTGATTTTCTCTTGGTAGAGAGCATGTGGAGCATGTGGAGTGGCAGATATTATTTGTCATAGTGAGATATTTTACTTCTTACCGGCAGGGTATGGAAACAAAGAAAATCTGGCAAAACTGTTTTGACAACTCCAAATTTCCCAGGAGTTAAGTGATCCGGATACTTGGATTGCAAATATCTGCAAAAGATATCCTCCAGACATAGATGTGGTCAATGGACATTAAAATGACAAATATATTTTTAAAAGATACAAAATGTTACTATGTTTTAGTATAGTATGCTAGTTTAGAGAAAAGAAGAACTAAGGATGGAAACTAATCAACATGGAATTAAGGACAAACTTCCTAACAGTGAGGACAATTAACCAGTGGAACCAAAAGTTGTAGGTGTTTCATCATTGGAGGTTTTTAAGAGGAGATTGGATAACCCTTTTTCTGAAATAGTATAGGATCGCCTGCTTGAGCAGGGGGCTGGACTAGAAGACCTCCAAGATCGCTTCCAGCTCTATTCTGATTTTGATTCAAAATAATTCTGAGTTTGCTGATGAAAACGGAATTGGCAATGACTAACTCAGGGGCAGTTCTTGATTAGTAATAAATGAAAATATTAATTTATGGAGGAGGTTAATATGTTGTTATGATAAGTCATAAGCTGATTGGCTATGTTTTGGCCTAGTGTTTGTGTGAGAAGAACCATCAAAATTCAAAATGCCAATGGGCATGCTTCAGTACACCCAGATGATGTCACTGCTCTTTGATTGCATTGATTGTCAGTTGCTTTCCAGATACAATTCAAAGTAAACTTCACTACTTACAAAGCTTTTTAAGGCATCGGCCATAGTTACTTGAGGGACCACTTAGCCCTTAGTTACTTGGGGGACCATCTGGGAAATTTGAATAGTTTCTACCTAGCTTCTGTAATTGGGCAAAGTGAGTCCATTCTGGGTTTTTTGAAAAACAAAACAAAACAGCGTCATGTCTTGGTACCCAAGAAGCACACCTTTTCTATCACAGTGCCTAATGTATGGAACAGCATCTCACCACTGAAGGATGATCAAGAAGACCTAGGAAACTTGAATTTCATTTGGCTGCAACTATTTTATGAATGTTAAGTGTGCTTTGCCAATTTGACTTAGAAATTCTACTGGTGTTAGAGGAGCTAAGTAAACCAGAATTGCAGACCTGCTTTAGGCCCTATCTGTGAGTTTTCATAGAGATTTCCTTATTTATAGATCTGTGTTTTACGATGGAGTCGTTAATCAACATATTCACTCCTTGGAGTACTAACAATGCAAAAGTAATATGTGTAAGCGCAATAAATCAGGAAAAATGTTCAGCAATATAGTAGTGGGATACTCTTGAGCTTTTTATTTAGCTAGAGAAACTAGGGGGTCCAAAACTGTAGGCCTTAAAGACACAATTGTCTTTAGTGTCCATGAAAAAAAACAACCCGCTGATTGATCCCTGTGTTCATTTGGTTTGCTAATTAGCCATGTCCTTACTAATAGGCATAAAAGTCAAACAATGAGAATAAATAACTGGCAGGCTACATTCCCAGCAAGAGTGAGTTATTGTAATGTAAAGATATGCAAATATGCCCATTCTTACATTTCCAGCCAAAGCTCTGGTTAATGAACGTCCTTTTATTCTTTCCAGGTTATTTTATTCCAATTGAACAGTTCTTATGGCTATTTTGTAATAGGTTACAATATGAATCTTATCCAAATGATTGGATTTTTAACCAGGTAACACTATAGCAGGATATAATTTTACAAGTTCAGAAATTAGGCCCAATAAAAGATCTTTTTAAAAAAACTGAATATTGGTTGCAGCACAAAAGGACATTTCTACTATACAATGTGACTAAGCTAGAACAATCAGATTTGGGCTACAAAGCTTACCAGAACCACAAAAGGATTGTAAGGAACACAGTAAGGAAAACCCCAATGATTTTCTAGCTGTTGTTTAAGGTGACCAGATTTTCAGATTGGTAAAGAGGGACACCTTTGACCGGGGCGGGGGGAGCTTGATTAAAAATTTTATAGTAGAAATGTCCTTTTGTGCTGCAACCAATATTCAGTTTT